CAATATCGCTATGGCAACGCTCCCCATCGCTCCGAAGGCAGCAGCAAATGCGCCTTCCCGCCGCCGGGCGCAGACCCGGACGTGGCTTCCCCGGCCCGGCCCGGGTCAGCGCGATACGGGTCGGCGCGACACGGCCCACCGCTCCCCCACTCCCACGGCTGCGAACCCCTTACCCGGCAGCTTCAGCGCCCGGGACAGCACCGTAGCCATACTGGAGAGGAGCAGTGCACATGCGCGCCAACCCCCTCCCTCTCCGCGCCTTCCTGTGGCCTGGTGGGATTTGTAGTTCGGCGGTGTGGGACTCCCCTCGGTGGAGACTGCGTCGCTCCTCGCTGGGACAGAGGCCTCCACCTGGGAGGTGCCGCTCTCCCGCGAGGGCGGCTGCTCGCCTGCATAAACTTGGTATTCCCACCGAAACCGAAGCTCTTCACTAATTCAGTTGCCCTTCGTTTCCTCCATGTTGTTTTAAGAGAGCAGAGACCCATAGTGTGGTGAGGGCCTGTGGCAGGGAGTCGTGACCATGGACAGTCCAGATTTACACAGCCCCTGCTGTGTGCTGGGCGCAGGCTCATGCAAAAATATGGTTGTTGTCTTAAGTGGTTTACACAGAAACTGCCAGTTCTCTAAGTTGTTCTTGGTATAAATATAGACCTTCTTTTTTGGGAAGTTTTTAGTTGGAAGAAATCATATTTGTGGATTTTGTTTTATTTCGCAACATTTTTTTTCACTTAATTACAGCACAGAAGACCTCTAGGGCGTTTTCCAAAGCTGTCCTCGATCTTCACCATAGCCTTCTGAGGTAAGCGAACAAGTGAACTCTCCCTTTCCCATGATGGGGAAGTTAAGCAAGGAGAGTTTTGTGGCTTCCCCAAAGCCACAAGGCTCCAGCTTCCTGATTCCCAGACCCATGCAAGGGCCATCTAACACCAGCACTTCTTCAAGTCATGATTTGTGTGAAAACTCTCAAGACTAGCTCGTTTGTCACAGGAGAGAACAGAGTATTGGCTAAATACATCGAAAGAGAGTCCGGTTGGCTGAAGAACACATCATATGACCTTAGCATCTGCTGCCACTGCTTTCCCTTGTTTCAGGTGCTGCTACTGCAAATAATGTACTTACTCTTTCCTGTTCATGTCTGTCCTGAAACTCCTTAAATAATAATAAAGAGAGAGAAGAAAAGAGACACCAAGTGGTCTAGCTGGTGAAGAGATTTTTTTCAGGTATGACCTGGAAAAAGAGTAGTTCAGATCCAAAACCTCTTGGTACCAGAGTTGTTTTTTTTTTCCATTAAGGCCATCTGGCTTCAGATCAGGGTCTTCCTGAGAACACAGTGTAGTGGTTTACACAGTTGCTCTGTCACCTGATGCCTCTTCCCCACTCAGGGAAGGGGGTTAGGAAAAGGAAGGGAGATTTGTGGGTTGAAATAGAAATATATTTAATGAAAATAATAATAATAATAATACCTGATATTAATAACAATATAATATAAAGTACAGAGTTATACTCAGCCAGTATTATGGAGGAGCAGTTCCTCTTGAGATGTCAGCCATGGAAGAGGGAAGAAGAACGAGCAGGAGGGAGGAAGAGGAAGAAGAGAGAAGAAGGAGCAGGAGGAGCGAAGAGTGTTGCCCCGAGCAAACTCCCCAGTTTACAGTGAATGTGACATTTATGGTATGGAATCATTATTAATTGGTCAGCCTGGGTCATCTGCCCTGGCTTTCGCTCCTCCTAACTTCTGCGCCTGGCCAGCTCAAGACTGGTGAAGATTTTGATCACTATGGCAACCTGCACACCAGAATTAGCTGAAAAGTTATAACAAAGTTTTTATCACTTTGTTCCCATGAAACAGTGTGTTGTAGTCCTTACAGAATTGCAGTTTTTCACAACAGAAAACTGACTCTCAAATTCTGTCCCATAAACCAAGACACACAGCACCTGGGAGGCAGTCCCCAGTGGTGAACTCTGGAGAAGTCATCAGAACAGTTCTTTTCTTTCCTTTCCAGATCTTTCTGAATACAGAGTCTTTCTGTTCCATATGCCATTTCTCCTCCCCCGCTTTAAGATTTAAGGCCAGTGATGATCCTGTAGCTATGTAAATATTTACAGGAGAGATCCTGGGTCCGTTTCAAGTCTCAGCAAAGCCTGCGATACACAGGGACAAGAGCTGTCCAGCAGAGCAGCTCTTTCTAAGAAAATGCTTCTGGCACCAATTAGAGGTGGGAGCAAAGGTATAGCAGAAGACAGCCAGAAGCGGGAACTGGAAAATCTGGTGTCCTCATTTGTGATCTTCTAACATCTGGCGCACGCGCACACACACACACTGCAAGAGCCTATAGTGTTACAATGCTTATATGTTTGCGGTACAGCATGGTCCAACTGGTAATTTCATGCATACCCACAAAAACAGCTCGTTCCCTAAGCCCTGAGATGTCTGTGCAGCTAATGGATAGCAGGGACAAGTGATCTGTAGTGAAAACTGATGCTTTTGAGGAACACATGACTAAGCAAAGTGTTCAGAGTGTGTAATGATTTGCAAAGCATGAGAAATGAAGTTTCCCTTCTCTACATTGTGAATGTAAGCTGATTTGCATATATATTGGACCTGTCAAGGGTACTAATATCAATCAGAAAGCTGTGAAAATAAAACTGAAGTTGCAAATAAATCATTCATTTATGTGAATGTTGCTCTTCATTTTATTTATTTTTTCCAGAGCAGTTTGAAAAAGCCAGATACTGAAAAATGAGATACTTGAGGTTAAGCTTGGAAGTCTGAGAGCTTTGGGTTGGCAGAGTGGTTCTTAAGAAAAATGTTACAAGCCAGAAGCATGAAAATACACACCCATGAGCCCCTTAAAAACCTGTGCAAGCCCTTTCTTCCCACTCTGGCACCTGCTGTCCGTGTAGGGTGAACATCCTGCCTGAGATAAATTTGCTGTGTGCTGCTGGATGCCAGATTTCTGACCTGACCCATGCCCTTTGAAATGCCTGTGTGTGGAGTCACTCTATGGGTGTGCAGTATTCACCTGATCTACACAAACTGTAGTGACATCCAGGGTCCACCTAACAGGGCCAGTGCAGAAGACTTTGCACTTGGCTCAAAAATGGTGGGACACACTGTAAGGAAACCTTTTCAGTGTCACCTCTTTCAGTAACTTCTTACTGTCACTCCACATGAAAGGAGAGGAATTATGTTCTTGAATAGCAGCAGGAACATAATATGTGGAGACAGCTGCCTTGTCCAGAAATCCCAGATAATGCACCCTAGCCTTGCACCCAAGTTGCAGCTCTCTTTTCTTTTTCCCCTCCTTTATTTCTTTCTGGGACAGACACCCCTTTTGGGGTATCCTCCCTTGCAAAAAGTTTGTTCAGTTCTCTTCTGCTTTAGCCACTGGACAAGCCTACACAAAGTGTTCCCCACAAGTGAAAAGTGCTGCCTATTTTGTAGGGTGATTACCCCTGTATGGGTGCCAATCACTTAGTAAAGGATGAGGCTAATGCAAACAAATGGATAATGAGGTTTGGGTTGGTCAGTGTTAACTGATGCAGCCCCACACTCCACTGCCTTTCTTCTTGCCACCTTTCTGCCAGAAATGACAACCTTTTCCAGCCTGCCTGCACAAGAACACCTCTGGTTGCTCCTTGGTACAGAAAGGACCCACATTAAACAATGCTATTGAAGGTCCTCAGGCTGGAGCAGGTCAATTGGACAGAGCTGCATGATGGAGTGATTGCACATGCAGTTCTGCTGTAAGATCAGAGGGGCAATCGCCTCCTGATGAGCTGCTGGGACAGGAGCTATTCTCAGCTGTCCCTTCCTCCAGGTGTCCAGAGGGAAAAAATAACCTGCATCTTTGCACTCCTGTTAGCACTTAAGCTAATGCTTTTACTTGTTCTTCTTGTCTTGCCCTTCTCCTTTGCATGGCTACATGAACAGAGTCAGGAGCAGCTTCTTCTTTCCATGTCAGAGGGCTCACACAGGAGCAGATATGGCCATAAATAGGAAGTGCTTGTTCAAACAACAAAATAAAACGCAATCTAGCAGTGAAGGCAAACAGGAAGAAACAATAAAAGCAAGTAAACACATGCAAAGTGATAATAACATTTCTAGAAGGTGCAAAACAGTCCAAGTTTATCTCCTTATCTCTAATCTTATCTCCTTTTATGAGGAGGTGAC